TACAGTTCTCAAACTAATTTCATAGAATAGTTTTATGTTTTTACACCATGTTTTCCTCTATTTCTCTTTTATATTTTTGGATCCACTTCTTATTACAAATATACTTAATCTGAATCTAATGGTTATATATAAAAATCGTACATCAAATTGGTTTTCAAAATTCACAGAAATTAATAGTACGATATAATCATATCCTTTCTTTTTAACAAGCTGTCCTCACTCATTCCCTTTTCCTCTAGCAATAATTACACAAACCTCTTTCCAAAGTGATGCTTCCCTTGAAATCTGCCTGGAATAACTGGTCATTCTGATCTTTAAGAAGAAAAATATATTGTCTAAAATTATGGAGTCAATTATCGCTAAACAAACCCTTTCTCCCCTCCGACATAGTGTTATTCTCCTCAACCAAGTTGACTTTACTCTCAGGAGATCGATTTTCACAAACCCCCTATCGTGTATTAGTAGTTGGTCTCAATTTAAAATCATCTTCCTGTAGACATCATATACAGGGTGACTGACAAAAAACCTTTGACGCTGTATGTTTCTTATTTTTTACTCGATTCGAACAATTGATAGATCAATAAAATTGTTACAAATACATACATTTCATTGTGAACTACTAAACACGTTACGTTTAATTTTTGACATTAGTCAGCTTTGTTTTTTTTTAATTATCTCTTTATATTTATTTATTTTTCTAGATTTATTTTTAAAATACGAATGCATAAGAAGTTTTTTATTTTAGCCAAAAAAAAATGTTAAGGAAGAAAAGAACGAAACATCTATAGCAGTTCAAAATTGCCTCCCTGTTGCCCCAAACATTGTTGACATCTTCTGTAAACTAAACACCCTATGTACTTCTTTTTGTACACGAAGAAAATGTAAAAAAATCTCAAACTTGCAAATAAAGATTTTTGCATGAAGTAAAAGGCAAATATTGTGTAATAATTTCACCACCAGCTGTTTTGACACAAAAATTAGAGTGCCATTCAAAAATTGAATGTAGTAGACAAAAAGAAATGAACGTTAAAAATTAATTAATTAATCTAATCGTAACATATTTAAAACAATTTAACTTACATCACACAGTGCTGTACTCTAAAAAATAAGACAGCAACAGGCCTGGTCTTTTTCCGAACAAAAAACAAAACTAATTTGAATATAAAAATCTAAATAAAATCTAAAAGTTATCCTAAATTTTTCTGCAACAAATTGATTGCGATATTTTATTATGAAGATATTTTTTTTCGTACATACTCTGCCACGCAATTGTCGGTAGGTATCAGGCTTCTGTTCTATTAGGATGATAATATACAAAAAAGCTACTGTAAAATATTGCCAGATATTGGGAAAAGAACTGTGTAACAAATTAGTGATCTGAAAATCATGAAGAAGAAAATAAACACTAAAAAAATTGCTTCGAAAAATTATAAAATTTAACTTAGAGAATTTTATTTTTGTTATGTTATGATTATCCCTGCGAGCTAAAATTAATATATGTGCGGATTGTTAAAGTGCAGGTGAAGAAGCATCAGGTAGATACGTTTCTAGTGAGTGATTTTTTTGATGACCTCGTCAACATGTTGTCTCATTCATTAATTTTTTTGGATCGCGTTATAGAAGTAATTCTAAAAATGATGTGGATGATTGGTCAAATTTTGGGTAGCGTTTTGCCATCTACACGATATTCCTAACATACATCATACATCATGTATAATGTAACAGTCGACACAGACAGACGACAGACAGAGGGAAACAGGAATCCTATTTCTTCCTACTCTAGAAGTCATTAAACGTCAAGAAAACATAAAAGTAACCAGTCGCCCCATAACTCGATTGCAATATGTACTTCCTTACGCTCGGGGAAGTAAAAAATCATAAAAAATTGCATGCAAAAATACATTCAATAAAAGTAAAAATGTATTTGTCCAGATACCTTCGTGTCGTTGCTCATCCACGCCTTTATTAATCCAGGGCGATGGTTTAAACTAATTACTGAGGAAACACACAGAACAAAACAATTTATTATTTTTTTCACAACCGTACACCCAGAAATATTTATCATACGTGTTATGTCTATTAAAATATCTATGAAAATCTGTCGCTTTGCTACGAAGACTTAATAAATCGGGGATGGCTGTCCCTAAATTTTTCACTAAAGTTTTACCGTCGTGACACACAGGACCATTTTTGATTAAATATTCAACAGAATTCATTATTTTTATTTAAAATCAAACAATTTATTTCGCGTAGAATGAAAATTAAACCCCGCAATTGAGTCACTGCTGGTGGGTACTGTCGGGGGTGTTTCTATAACGATAAAATATCGGTACCGATAAAATGTGGTCGTCTTTTTCTTTCGCATCTGAAATTTCTATTTTAGTTCTTGTCATTTACCGCTTCGTTATCGCTTTGTATCGTATCGGTAGAAACAAAATCCCACTCCAGGACCCGATTCCAGCCCAATACCGTGACTAGACGCACGGTTTCCATGGCAACGGTGTAAACAAAACGTCTAAATGAGCCATGATTTGGTCTCCTCCGCTTTTATCAGCGCTTCATCAGCAATAGTATATCATATATCCAAGACACAACATCTTTGGATGTAAGTTTTGATACATTTTATACAAGTGGAGCGAGATAAAAAAATTAGTTTTGATAATTATGACACAAACTTGTAATTTTGTTAACTACGGATTCATTTTTGTCAAAAAATCAATATAGTATATGGTTTAAAATTTTTTCTCAAAAAGTTGTCATTTCAAATTCAAAATTTTCTGTAAGCACCCCAAGAAATCTTGGTCCTGGTCCACTTTGGTCTAGCTAAGTGGCTATGGGATTATGAAAACCAGCAGAGAGGAGGCGTAGAAGTTTGAAATCCCTCGTTGCTGGATGACTAGTTCATTGAACTGTTTTCAGACAGCAATATGTATTTCGTATTAATTAATTCTTTGTTAAAATACATTACTCCTACTAATTATGGAAAAAAAAAATGTGGTCACCATGGATGTGAGCATTTCATTGACACATCGGGATCTGCGTACTCGGCTATTTTGTAGCGTAACGCAAAAGTCCCCACCGATTAGCATAAACGCACTACCAAACAAATCATCTAAATGCTCAGTTTATATGAAAGATTCATAACTAACTTCCGTTTAATAGTATATTACATACCGAGGCGGAAAGTATTCCATTACTGTCGAGAGAACTATAGTTTACCGAGAGGCGCAGCCTCGAGGTGAACTAGTTCTCGAGACATAGGAATGGTACTTTTGCCGAGGTTTGTATGCTATTTTATTCACAATCGTTTTAATTGTAGTTTTAAAATAAAATAAAAATGTCCTAATTTAAAACTTTGATTTCTGTTTAATATGAGTCACTCAGCAGGCGTTGGAAAATACAAAAATTGACATAACTTGACAGTCTTCACCATAAGCTCTCCTTATAGTTATTTATAATCGCTGATTTCCATCTATCATTAATTACACATACGTAACGTTTTAAAGTCGAAAGTGACATTCATTTCCATCTCTTGGGTGGAAAGTGACAGTTACTTTCAGCTCTTGGGTGGAAAGTGACAGATAAGTGACATATGTCACTTTCCACCCTTGAGATTGAAGTGAAGTATGTAATAGCTCACTTCCAAACTTTTAAAAAGTTTGAAAGTTTCACATTACTGACCGATTGTGAATAAAATCCTTAACTGTGGGGCCACTTATGAGCATCTACGTAACAACGAATAATATTGCAGTTTATGGAAGAAGATAAAACACGGGTTGTATTAATTTCGTGGTTTAAGTAAACAAGCCGTGATAAGTGTAACCATTCCCACTACAGTCCTTTAGTTTGCTGAATACATTCAATTTCTTATACACCTAATGCACTGTGTTACTCTATAATTAATTTCTCCTGTTCCTATGTAAGGAAACTTACAAGATTGTAATATGTTCTTTTTCAATATACAAGTCGTGTTTAATAAAAATTTCAGGACATGCTAAGTTGTAGTTTTGAAATACAACCCGTGTTTCGCCTTATAGCCAAAATACACTTGGTCGGAATCACCTTAAGCTTCCCTCTTCAAACTAAAAACAAGCTGAGACACAAGACTTTTCTGTTATTATTAAAACTAATTGTAAGTGGGGTTTACGTTCCACTATAGACTGTAAGTCTGGTAGAAAATATATTATATTACATATACAGGGTTAGTCACGAGAGAATTACTTCTGAAAATTATTTTTACGCAACCCAAAATACTAATACCCTGTACCACTTGATATTATCTAAATTTAAAGTAAAATGCCTAATCCATGATTGCTTTGACTTTGGCAGTGTCACTTTGACGTTAATTAATTTTTAACATTTTTTTTCATCGTTGACTCGCCTCTAGAGCCCCATTGGATCGACGACATACAGTCAGATCAATCTGGGCTATACTGAAGCCCACAGAACTTCTGAAGCCGTAAGTGCTCTACCAATGTTGTTCGCCGCTAATGTGTATGTGTTAATTCGCCATCTCTACGTCACCTAGAGCCCCTTCGAAGTGCAAATCTGCAACCTCTGGACTTCTTCGGCCATCCATTTACAAAAAAGCCGTAGCATCCAGCCAAAATGCCCAACATTTTCAACAGATTAGTAGTTAAATTATTTACTTACTTGTTTGAGTTTGTGTTGTAACCTTTGAATAAAATGCCGTAAAAGGAATTTTTAGACATAATTTTCTCGTGATTAATCGGATGTAAAAGATCAAGAGGCACACTGACAAATTTATTAGCGGCGCCGGAGGAGATTTCCGACTGGCCGCGGTACCACCATGGACACTCGCGTAACCTCATTCTCCACAATTGTCAAAATGAGATTGCCAAACTCAAAGCAATCATGGATTAAGCATTTCATTTTAAATTCAGTTAGTATCAAATGGTATATGGTATTCGTATTTTGGGTTGCGTAAAAATAATTTTCAGAAGTAATTCTCTCGTGACTAACCCTGTATTATACAGGATGTCCCAGAATTCGCGCCATTCCCGTGAATGACATGTTCCCTGTCCCGAACTGTGCCGTAATTCGCAAAAAGAATTGTCCAGGCTTTAACCGTGTGAGAACTGGAAGGCGATTAAGTTGACCAATAGAGAGGCTGCTTTTATATCCGAACGTTTCTATGTTCAAAGTTACCTATGCCAAGAACAAAAAATCGGGTAATACTAAAGTTGAATGAATTTTTTCCGAATCCCCCTCCGTCAACAAAAGGAAACAGAAGTGTGGTTATAAATTTTATCATTTTGACAATTGTTTGTCATAAACTGTCACGAAGTTTATCACTGACCTGAAGAGACGCTTCTGCGCCAAAGATGACTGATTAATGTACACAGAGACGTCAAGGTTTACTTTAAGGCAAGTAGCATGGGACAGAAGTTATTTCTGCTGCCATTCTAGTCAAATTGTGTTTAACTGGGCTGTACATGTCATAAGAGAAGCTGTTTCATTTCATCGTAGGCAAATAATACATTTATTACTATTCTACATAGAGTAGCTACCGAAGAGCAGGTATAGAAGTCATTTTCTTAGAGCCCCGTGAATAATCGTCGGCACCCAGACCAACATGTGTTTCACCGATTGTTACATCGAGCAAGAGAAGATGGATCTTTTCAACCTAGTCGGAAAGGCCGTGCTGGGGCTCCACGGAATGTACGTGTAGGTGCTGAAGAGCAAGTGTTAGAAAACATGGAAGCGGATCCTAGGAGAAGTGTCCTCTACGTAGCGCAAATGAGTGGATGTTCAAGATCGACCACTCATCGTATCCTTCAAGAGAGAAGACTGCATCCTTACCATTACACGAGAGTGCAGCATCTGCGACCAACCGACTACCCGCGACGAGTACATTTTACTCAATGGTTACTGCGACAAAATGAACTAAATCCTGATTTTACACGGCGCATTCTTTTCACCGACGAATGTTCATTTTCCCGAGAAGAAATGTTTAATGCACACAATTGCCATTTCTGGGCACACGAAAATCCACATCTCACTAGGGTGAGAGCATATCAGGAGCGATTTACTATTAATCTATGGGCTGGAATCATTGATACTACTGTGGTAAAAATTTTAATGCATCTGATAAAATTATCACTAAACTCCGTTCCTGTTTTTGTAGGTGGGGCCGTTTGTGTTACCTGATCGCCTTAATGGGGATGCTAATTTTCTACGACTAGAGCTTCCGGCATTGTTGGAAGACGTTCCTTTGAATATACGGCGGAATATGTGGTTTCAGCACGACGGCGCTCCTCCACATAATTCGATACTTGTACGACGAACATTGAAAAGAGTATCGTCATAGGTGGATTGGGCGTGGCAGTACTAACATCTGGCCTCCTAGATCTCCAGACCTTTCTGCTTTGGACTTTTTTTTTGGAATCAAATTAAAAATTACGTATATAGAGAACCCCTAGATATGTTAGAAGAACTGAAAGAGAGACTGCACGAAGCCTACGCTACAGTTACTCCTGAGATGTTAAATAATACACAACACAACATAATTCGACGAGCTAGAACTTGCATTGAAGTTAATGGTGGTCATTTTGAGCACATTGTTTAATAACGTTACAGTACAACGATTCCAGCCCATAGATTAATAGTATTGCTCTTGATATGCTCTCACGTTAGCGAAATGTGGATTTTCGTTTGCCCAGAAGTACCAATTGTGCGCATTAAATATTCCTTTTCGGGAAAATCAACATTCGTCGGCGAAAAGAATGTGCCGTGAAAAATCAGGATTTAGTTCATTTTGTCGCAGTAACCATTTACCAACATGCACTCGTCGCGCAGTCGGCTCGTCGCAGATGCTGCACTTTCGTCAATAGTAAGGATGCAGATTTTTGTCTGTAAGGATACGATGCATGATCGATCTTGAGCATCCAATCATTTGTGCCACTTGTTCTTCACCGTCTATGCGTATAATCCGTGGAGCTCCAGCACGGCTTTCCGAATAGGCTGGAAAGATCCATCTTCTTTTGCTGGATGCAACAAACGACGAAACACATGCTGGTCAAGGAGCCGATGATTGGGGAAAAGACCTGTATATTCGCGCACAGCAGTGGCTGCATAGCGTGTACATTCTCCATAAATTAACATCATTTCCAAATATTCTTGATACTAGTATGAACATCAATAACTTAGTGGTATTGGTACTGATTTGTTTATAGTTTGTATTGTTCTTAAAAAAATTGCAACTAAACGATTTTTGTTATAATTTTTATTCGTATCTTTTCAATCTCTAGAAAGTACTCACAACTTTAAAGAAACTGTTTTAAATCATCATGTGCAACATCAATATTATTCTTGTGTAAGTCTCAGTTTTCAGTATCTCCCCCACATGATTGACACCACAGCAGATACCTATGATCTTAATACACCAGAGAAGTGGAGTCTCGTCTCTTTTTTCGTTGCTTAGATTAGGTATCAACAACAAAGCTGTTCAGTAAAAATTGATACTGTTTATTGAAAATCATAAGCACCGATTAATCAAAAGCGATATTTATATTTTAGTACACTTAATAACGTTCTTTGAATGGACATGTGGTACTCTTTTTTAGAAATAACGATAAACTTAATATCAGGCATATGATGCATTCTGAAAATGTACAAATTTTCGTTAAAAAGAACAACACATTATTCACGGGGCTCTAAGAAAATCACTTCTAATACCTGCTCTTCGGTATCTACACTATGTAGAATAGTAATAAATGTATTATTTGCCTACGATGAAATGAAACAGCTTCTCTTATAACATGTACAGCCCAGTTAAACACAATTTAACTAGAATGGCAGCAGAAATAATTTCTGTCCCATGCTAATTGCCTTAAAGTAAACCTTGACGTCTCTGTGTACATTAATCAGTCATCTTTGGGGGCAGAAGCGTCTGTTCAGGTCAGTGATGAACTTCGTGACAGTTTATGACAAACAATTGTCAAAATGATTAAATTTATAACCACACTTCTGTTTCCTTTTGTTGACGGAGGGGGATTCGGCAAAAATTCATTCAACTTTAGTATTACCGGATTTTTTGTTCTTGGCATAGGTAACTTTGAACATAGAAACGTTCGGATATAAAAGCAGCCTCTCTATTGGTCAACTTAATCGCCTAACAGTTCTCACACGGTTAAAGCCTGGACAATTCTTTTTGCGAATTACGGCACAGTTCGGGACAGGGAACATGTCATTCACGGGAATGGCGCGAATTCTGGGACACCCTGTATGTTACCGGGTTTATTATAAATGTTTACTCAGCGTAGGTGGATTAAACAAAACCGGAAACCGGCAAATAAATAGGGTGAAACTTTTTTTAAGCCACCTACGATGTAAAAAACATTTATAATTACCCTGTATTTACTTCGTTTAAACATCAACCAACGCCTACGAAATTACAGATAAGGCAGGAACATTAGACACTTACATGTAAGCTCGACGCTTTATAATTCCTTTTTGCAGCTTACGCATATAAACCGTTTGTCTTTGTGACTTGTCTTAATCGTCGTACTACAACTCACACTTTTTCTTCTTTCGATCACTAAAGTAATCGAAAGTTCATTCTAGCAAAATACAAATTTGAAAACTAAATTATACCTACCTTTTCTTATCCAAAATTAATTATTGAAATACCATCGGTTGCATCACAAAATAGGCAAGAACATCCACTAACAAACAATAAAGTGAGTGTAAAATTTTTGCAACCTTCGTAAACAAAAATATAGCGACAAAAGTATTATTACAAGATTTTGCCGAATCATAGGTAAGGGGTTTAAAAAGTTACAAAAACAAAAATTTTTCAGATAGTGTATTATGACTACAGCAATAAATAAATTAAAAATATGATTCCATGCGCTGCCTCGAAACCCATTTTTTAGTTTCTGTCCCTTTAGGCATGTATGTATAGTAATTAATGTGTGTAAATTTATACATAAAATTACCTTGTTAATATATTTACAAGTATCCCACATTCTGGCCGTTAAAGCTTAAATATTTCCGCGCATAAATTTTTATCCTTTATAAATAGGGTGTTCGCATTGTCCCGTCGGCAATAAGGGTTAAATGGCTCTGATTCGGGAGCTTAGGCTCGTTAATTCAAACGTAGCAGGCATGCATTTACGGCAATATAAAATTTCCAAATTGAGACAAAACCGAGTCAAGTTTCATCCCTGGCCATAAAAACTCCAATAAAAAATTAATTATGTATTCTGCGAATTGAAACGGGGGCCGCCGAGGGATCCTCGAGCAATACGCCCCTGAAAAGCAGTAAAGACTCTTTGTGCAATTTTGATGAGACTGGCCGCAATGTGGAGCACACGCAATTTGTTTTTGTGTTTTTATGTCCATTTTTATTACATCTAGGCAGCAGCTGCTTCGTAAAGAGTACATTATGTCTGGGCAGGACAGTACTTTTCGGCGACGCTTCAGCAAAGTCTCGAACAAATCCTCGTGATAGGATAACACGCCCTGTTGAATTCGGCCGGTGTACACCAGGAAATGAGAGATGCCACAAATGTTTACCGGGCTCTTGTGGACGATGAATTCGGCCCATCAATATGGCACATGTACGGAATGATGTTTGCTTGATATGTTAGCATTTCGGTCGATCATAACGGTTTTATTTCGCTTTGTTGCGGCGCGATAGGCTTTACGGCCCAATTTGCTCTCGATTTAGATGGGCAAAACAATTTTTTACTTTTCAATATGGGGTCGACGATGAACCATAAAAAATGTTGCGGGCATAAATTACGCGCGTCTATCTACCGAAATTCCCAATTTGTCGTGAAAAATTCGAGCCAATCCTACCGAAATTAATCAGACGCGAGCCTTATCTGCACAACCATTTTCATATTACTTTATTTTGGATAAATCCTGGCTGTCGGCAGGCCATAAATATACAAGGTTTATTACCGGCCATAAGTAATAGAACTACTGAAACAAATCTCTTTTGAAAAGTAATACCTAGCGCAGAGAAATTAGCAATGATTTAAACATTTACAAAAACTCGATAAACTTTCCTCACTTGGAAGCACAACCAATACCGCAAACTGAGATAATTGTTAACTGATTCGAATAAACAGTTTAGATAGTATTAAAGTTTCAGGTTACATTCTAAGTCAGTTTCTTAAATAAACTGCAACAATTAAATTAAAGTTTAAATTGCTTCATAAAATCATAATATGACGTGATTATATTTTTGAAATGAATGAGTAGAAGACTTTAGACGTGGGAGAGGGAAATCAGTATTTGTGTATTCCTTTGACCTCAAGAGAACATTAAATTAAACCTTTGTTACAGTGATCCAAACAAAATGCTTCTAAAGCTAAATCCAAAAAAATATTATAATGACATTAAAGTACATATTGCTGTTTACAGTAAGAATATAAGCTTAGACCTGCTTCAAACTTTTATTTACGTTCTTTTAAGAATTTATTTACTTGTAAATACCTTAAAAATAACTGAAACATTGGTTCCTCGTTCTAGAATATATTTACAGTACATTCAGTCTAATTTTCAGGCAAAGAAACGTGAAATAAACAGCTTACATAAGTAATTTTACGTAAGTATGTTCGAATAAAAGGAAGCAATACGTTGCGAATAATCCGAATAAATTTTAAATGTTTTTATGTTTCATAACAGAAAATGATACCAAAAGCTTTTTATGCTTTTTGATAAATGCTATGAAATTTGATCGGATTTCAAGACCGTTTCATTAAAGTTGTTACGTTACAGTAAAGATTTCTTAAATTACCGGCCCGGAGCTTGTTATCTAATCCTTATTTCTTGAGACGTAGATACTTATAAAGTATTATAAAGTAACGAAATCAGAACAGTCATAAACAATCACTTTTTAATATCTTGCATTGCTTTCAGATTATGAAAAAGTTGGACCCGTTTCCGTCTGTCTATCATTTGTCGTCCATGATTTTATTGGGGGGATAATCTCTAAAACTACTTGACTCATCATTGTGAAATTTTAGGGGTATGTTCAAAGTATCGCGTAGACGGTAAAACGCTAACCAAAATTTGTCTGATTACCTGCACCAAAAACTTGATGACGTCATCGCCAAATGCTACAAAATAATATATTTCTGTACATGTGATTTATTAATTTCAACTGAAAATAAAGGACGAGTACATTATAACATACATAATTTTATAATTTAACTTGGAAACTGCAAAATCAACTGCTTTGGCATCTTGAAAACGCTTGAAGGTTATCACAGTGATCGTTTCACAATACATATGTATTTGTTTTTCCATTCCACAAACTTGATGACGTCATCTAAAAATTCGCCATTCAAGCAATTTATTTTGTTGATTAAATCAAAAACTGCTGTTTTAACTCTAATTCTGTAATATAATACTCCCCTATCATATTTTTAAGTTGCAATATTTATCATTAAAAATTATTTTCTGTGAAAATCTGAATTTGTTTGAAGTGCCTCCAAGGCGAAGGAAGTTCTACTTAAGTAACATTAGACCTTATTTTTGTAAAATATGAAGAAATATAAAAAGTTTTCCAGCACGAGAGATGTTGTCTCCTAAGAGAAATATCGCCACGAAAAAATATCATTAAAATGAATTATTCAGACAAAGAGTCTAGCTTTTAAGGGAGTAAAATTATGCAACTAGAAAAAACTTCATGTTTTTAAGTTCACTTTGACGCATGATGTCATAAACGATTTATTTAATGGAATTATAAAGATTTTTACTTCCAGAGTGTATGCTAATGAAGTAGTGTAATCAGGTCCATTGGGCGACTTTTATTTAATTAATAGACACTTAAGCGTCGCATTCTTTCGACGCACAACGTAAGCAAGTACTGATAATATCTCTCTGTGTCTTTCTGCCGTCTGTCAGCTGTGTGCTGTGTCAATTTTTTCAGACAGATTGAATGATGTCACGTCAACATTTTGCTTATTAAATACTACGTAAATCATACTCCTGTACTTGTGGTTTATGAATCCGCCTTGATTTTTAATCATAATTAGGTGTCAAATTTAAGTTACTTGAGCTCTTGTGAGTTTGAACCGCATTCTCATTGATATTTAGTTTTCGAAGGCACTAAATTTGTGTGAATTTTTGACTACAAGTGTTAAGGAAGTTCTAGCCAAATCAGTTTAGACCAATTTTTTTAACAGTATTTTCAAATAATTTTCTAGTAAAGCCACATATAATCAGCGATCAAATAAAAAACAGCTCTAGTTACTTCTTGATGCTCAAATTTGAGGTTAGATAGGCAGTTCGAACAGTGACAGATAATTTACAGATGAGAGCAATAGAAACAATAGATCTCCGATTTCCGTCTGTCTAGCGTCTGTTTCGATTCTTATTAGATAGATAATCTCCGAAACTACCGGACCAATTGTTGTCAAATTTTCGATGTATGTTAGGAATATCGTGTTGATCGCATAAAGCTATCTAAAATTTGTCGAATCAACCACATCAACAATTTGATGACATCCTCTCATTTCTCATTATACTGCGTACTTCACAAAAATTTTGTTTGTGAAATATTTTCCACGTGTAACTGGTATC